TCAAACTGAACCTGTCAATCAAACTCACACGGCCCCGCCCTCTCCTCCCGTCCGTCAAACTGAACCTGTCAATCAAACTCACACGGCCCCGCCCTCTCCTCCCGTCCGTCAAACTGAACCTGTCAATCAAACACACACGGCCTCGCCCTCTCCTCCCGTCCGTCCGTCAAACTGAACCTGTCAATCAAAACACATCACATACATCTTTACAATCGCTGTCTAACGCGAAACATTCAGGACCTTTCATAAAACATCAGAGTAAAGAAACTCTCATTACTGCACAAATGAACATCATTAACAGACCACCGCTGAGGCTGACACCAGGTTTGGCAGGTAAAGGTTAGAGTTAACCATTGAAAACAGAAACAAACACTTAACTGTCCATCAGCTTCTCTGCACAATAACCAATATAACTTAAAGGAGGAGGACAGACCGCGTGATATTTATCAGATTCTGACAGCACAGACATCCTGCGCTTATAAGAGCTCAAATTGGCATCATGTTTTTTTCACTGCTGTCTTTCCTTTGACATCTGAAGATTTCCTCTCTTTAAGGGCTCAAAAGATTAAGAATATTTTGATTTGAGATAAAGTACTCTGAAAATATACAGTAGTAATCAGCACAATATTGACATCGTGAGCTCATTAGCATATGCCCGCCCACATTCACCTGTCAGCGACGCCTATCGAGGGATCAGGTGACGTATTAAAGAGGAAGCAGGACAGATACTAGTTTTCCTGAGCATTAATTTAAATGTCCTTCATTTCTAAAGGTCAGAGACGGTGGAAAATTCTCATGAAAAACCACATTACTTCTTCAATTCAACTGTCAACTTTTTAAGTGAACCTTTGCAAAGTAAAATAATTTAAAATATATCTTATGAACTGTTTAATTCATTTTCCGAATAATATTATCAGTAATAACTGCACTTATTAATCTCCATCCAATGAACTATATGTACAATGTTTTTTCCAGGAAGTGAATTTGTGAAGTCTCAACCGTGTGGGATTTATAATGATAGTGAGTTCAGATGTAATTCATACACAGAGAACCTGCTCTCCTCATTCAGAGAACTGAACATGAAACATGAACACAGCAATTACTGAAGAGAAACTAATAAAACTGATGCATAAATCCTTACTCAATCAAGAAACAGAGCTGAAAATAACAATAGACTTCATTAAGTGCAGAAGTGGCTCGATTAAAGAGATATAATACAGCCGAAAGCTGTGTGTGCGACAGTCAGGAAGCAGAAGAGCCGCACTTCTGAACTTCCTGTTCTTCATTCTGCTCTGTTAGTATTGATTTCTCTGCAATATTTCTGCATTGGCTCTTTGGGTTAATTAATTAAAAGTATCGATTGATGGGTTGTAACAATTCAAAGGAAAACAAAGTGTTTTATGACAACTTGTACCATAAATAACATCAAATCAATAACGAGATGCTCATATTTAGTGATGCTAGCGGGAGGAGAGTCACATGATTGAAGACAGTGTAATGAACCTGTTTATACTGAATCACCAATAACTGTCCAAATGAGTTTAATTAGGATGTAGTGCTTCATTAACAGGGAGCACTAATGGATCAGTGTGTGTGTGTGTGTGTGTAAGTGTGTGTGTGTGTGTGTGTGTGTGTGTGAGTGTGTGTGTGTGTGTG